ATCCTGACTTTAATTTTAGATTTCGAGAATGCGCTTTGACCTAAAGATGGGTTCCATGTTTTCGTATGTTCCTCTTCAGGTAGTTTCTTTTTAACCCTGAACAATATACTTGACTTCTGTCTTCTCAGTGAGAAAATGGAAGAAGTTTAGGATGACTTTTGTTGGGATAGTAAGGAGACTTTGCATTATTGGAAATAATGGTCAGGAGAAAACCCTGTGTATGTTTATGAGGGGGCATTTTTGTGTACTAATGTCACTGAAACAGAGGCCAGGTTAATTCCATATCCAAATTAAATTTGTGGTTTTCAAGGAAGAAGCCAGAATTATCTAATAAAATCTAAACATCATTTTAAATTGTTTGGTAAATTGGGTTATTTTAGGTGGAGGAAGCTAAACAAGAATTACAGGAAGTTGTTGAATTCTTGAAAAATCCACAAAAGTTTACTGTGCTGGGAGGTAAACTTCCAAAAGGTAAGGTATCTTCCCTTTACCATAATTTGATGTCAAAAAATGCTGTAATATATTACTGATTTAATTTTATCAGATTTTAACTAATTAAAGTTTAGCTCGCAGTTGCTGTTTTACAAAATAGATGCTCATTCTGCATATACAGTTCTACAACCTTTTCTGTAACTTATAATTTTTACATAATTACAAACTTAAAGTTACAAGAATAGTACAAAGAGTGCTCTTCATATCCTTAACCTAGTCTCACCAATTTTTAACGATCTGCTCCATCTTAACATTTGCCGCATTCACTTTATCTCTTTATACACTTAACTTTTTTTTAGCCATTTGAGAGTAAATTGTTAGGCATAATCACTCCCAAGTGTATATTTCCTAAGGATAAGGATATTCTTATACATAACTCCAGAAATAATTGTTAACATTAAAATCAGGAAGTTCAACATAACTACAAAGCCATTACCAAATTCCCAGCCATATTCAAATGTCAGCATTTGTTCCAATCCAGTATGCTCTGTAGTGTCTCCCTCACTGCCACTGCCTGCCCCGGTTCAGGACCCAATCCGGGATCACACTTAACATGGAGTTTTTTCTTTAATATGAAACAGCTCCTCAGCCTTTTTGTGGAAGGGGGGGAGAAGAAAGTCTTTCATGATCTTTACAACAGCGAAGGGTGTAGACAATTTATAGGACGTTCCTCAGTTTGGCTTTGTGTGATGTTTTCTCACAGTTACTAAACATGATTTTTAATGACTTCTTGGTGTCTTTCTAATTTATGGTTGTATTATAATTTTATCTAACCATTTATGTTGACTTTTTTTATGGTTTCCAGGTTTATGCTATTAAAAATAGCACTGTGGTGATCATTTTAACTCAATGCTTTGCCTGAATGCTTAATTATTTCCTTAGAAAAAATTTCTTGAAATAGAATTGCTGAGTTAAAGAATGACACTCCTTTTTAAGGCTTATTTTGTACTGCCAAATATCTATACTGAGAGCTCAGCAGTACGTGAGATGGTTTGCATGACCCTTTGCTACTTGAGGGGACATTTATTAAATCAATGCTATGATATCATACAGTGAGTGTTTGAAACCGTAGAAGTAGTTACACTCTTCCTCTTTCTAATGACAAGGAGTATTTTATAAATTTATAGAAAAATGCTCAGGTACCTAGATATAATCTAAAGAAATTTATGTTATTCAAACCTAAAACATGGAAATACTAGGGTGATCTTAAGGCTATTTTTTGAACTTTCCTTCAAAAATATTTTTTTATCTTAAAATATGGCATTA